AGTCTGGATTTTGCTACATCCTACATCGTGCACAAAATCACATATAGTATGTGTGCTACAACTTGAAATTTTGCCAAACGACATTCCGCTGCGTCCGGTCGTGAAGCGTCTTCGCCTTTGAAAACTTCGGTCGCGCTTCATTTTTTATTTATAGCTGGTAAGTATAATGTTTCACGATTTCGTAAAGACCGTCGCGACCGCATGCAGCGGAACAGCGGAATGTCGTACAGTGAAACTTCAAGTCGTCGCACACAGACTATATCTCACCTGACCGCACAAGTTGTAGAAAAATGATTTTTGAAGATTTCGCGTTTTGAGAGACATGTGACTACTTTGCTTTTCCAAAATGTACAGGCCATGTGCGCAAAGAAACGCATGCTCGGATACAAGTATAGTTGTGAGCGTAGTTAAGATCCAGGCCGTTTTATTAGACAAATCCAACACAAACGCACAGGATGTGAAAATGTGTGGTGACTCGCATTGGAGAATCTAAAAAATGAAATTTATTTCACCGTCAATATTTTTCAACCTCAATAACTTTCAACTTTGCTGCGTATTGATCAGCAGGCGCTGTTCCTACGAGAATGATCATTGCGCAATATACAAAAACGCAGTTCCCAAAAACCAGCGAAATACGGATACTCTTTTTGAATCGAAAAGGGCTATTCATCGGCAAGATGTTGTGGTGCCGATACTCGAATAGGGAAAAGATCGAAATGAAAACATCTGAAAGCAGCAAATGGTTTTCTCATCAGAGTACACTGAGCTCACTTATCATTGAAGAATCGGTTATGAACAATTGAATGGCTGCGGGAACCCCAATGGTTTGGAACACACCACGTGAGCATCCAGCCAGTGCAGGGAAATAAAGAATAGGGGTAACCAGTACAGGGAGCAGGTAGAAAATGACCCTGGGCAAAAAAGATATATTTCACAAACTCCGTGTTCACCAACCATAATTGATAGTTCAATAGTAGCCATTTGTAGTGTTTCATCGTTGGTGGCGAGAGAAAGAGAATACTACAGAATGCAGCCAAATTGGGGATCATCACAAATGGAAAAATCAAGGCTTCTATGAACTTGAGATTTTCCTCGCTGATAAGATCATCATCACAAAGAGGAAAGTTCATATTTAGTCAAGATTGGTTGGCAGTAAAATTTAAGCTGTTGAGTTGAAGTTATAGACTTCCGATTTGTCCATGCAGGTGCTTTCGCCGTGAGCAGAGTTAAGTATTTTGTTTTTCATTTTCTTGGTATTCAGAGTCTCGAATTTCCAAAAAGTTTAGCGTAACCGCTCTTCCTAATACTGAGAGGAACTATTAGCTGTTTTTCACATTTGTCAGAAATGGAATCACTGGATTGAGTGCTTCTTAATTGTCGAAGCTCTTGTTTTGTAGATATATACTTTTTTTTTGTGTCAATGAGAAAGCTTAAAGCCAAGGAGAATTTTCTTGAAACTACATTTTCAGAGCGAATTAAAGCAAAAAAAAAACCTATTTTAGAACAGTTCTTCATTTACAAAATTACCAGATTCGAAAAAATAATTGATAAGAACTGGAGATGGTGTTGATAGAAAAATAACCTTAATTTAACTATTCTTAGCCCGCAGAGATGGATTTCGATGTTCGGTTGAAATATTAACTGCATTTCCTGGAAAAAAAAACAATGGAAACTTGTGAAGTTTATGAAATCAAACGTTTCCTAGAAAATAACCGCTCGGAAGATCCGAATAGCAGTTTGGAATAGAAATTCCGATAACTTTTATTTGACAAAATTGTGAAGGCTGAGGAAATGCCGCTGTATGAAGATCCCATGAGGACGAAAATTGAGGAAAGAGCTTCAAAAAATTCTCAGTTTTATAGTAAATGTTTTCCGACTTGAAAGGCGAGGGAGGCCGGGCAAGCGGCGGGACGCGTAGCGTGTGCGAACGCGGTTCTTGGCGCGCGTTCAATTCAAGCGCACCGACTATTCAAAAAGCTCGGTCACTGCTATTTTTTTATATGTTCTGCTATTTTTTTAATGCACACATGACACAAATCAATGAAGAAATAAAAAAAAAAAAGAGCGATGAACGAACTCACCAAATAGTCGCTAGCGGTTGAATTGAACTTGTGCCAAGGACCGCGAACGCACACGCTACGCGTCCCGCCCCCCTGCCCCGCCTCATTAACCTTTCAAGTCGTGAAACATTGACTATACACTGCGACGCATAATTATGGACCCACCCTAATTCCTCCGATTTTAAAAAAGATTGAAAAACTTTCAGCCACCAAACTTTTTGTGTGATAAACCTTGTTGATAAGGAACATAATCATAATATAATTATTAATCACCCAGTTGAAAAAGTTTTTTTCAAGATACGAGAAAATCTGATTTTTTTGACCGACGCAGAATTATAGACCCACTATAAGTAATCAACAAAACTCATTCCACAAAGTCAACAAAGTATAACAAAAAAATTAATTAATAATGTGTGATGCCTCCTTGTTTCTGAGCGACTTCGAAAATCCTGTTCGGCATGCTGCCAACGAGTGATTGCAGTAGTGACTTGTCCAAACCATCCCACTCGGCACGAATCGCTCTTTTCAGATCGTTGACCGTTGTATACTGCTTGGCATTCGCGTAGACCCTTCGTACAAGGACTGACCATGAATTCTCTACAGGGTTGAGGTCAGGACTGCACGCGGGCCAGTCCAGAAGAACCACGTTATTGGCCGCAAACCAAGCCAATGTGGAGTTGCTCGCGTGAACAGATGCATTGTCTTGTTGGTAGATCATATTAGCACGTCGTCGGCGACGGAGATAGGGCAGGAGATGCTGGGCAAGCAGTTGCTGGTAGTCTTGCGAATTCGTTCTGGTCCCAATAAAAGAAAGAGCTACCGTCCTGTTGCCGCAGAAAGCCGCCCAGACCATGAGGCTGCCGCCGCCGAAGTTTCTCTTGGAGAAGTACATCGGGTCTTTCCTCAAATCTCTCCAGTAGTGAGCGTACCCATCTGGCCCATCAAGGTTGAATTTCTTCTCGTCTCTGAAGAAGATCCGAACAGAAAAATTGGGAATCATAAGGTGATAGAAAAAATTAATACCTTATTCCAATCCGTGGCCATGTTAGAGCGTGCAAACTGGAGCCGTTCATTCTTATGGCGTTGCTGTAGACGAGGTGCTGCCGTCATTGGAGTATTCACAAGTCGACCGGACCGATGAATTGCTCGTAAGATGGTGTCCTTCGAGACGTTTTCAGGAATTTCGGATCTGATTAGGTTGGCGGACTTCGTAGAGTTTGATGCTTTTCGACAGACGTCTCGTTCAGTTTGAACCGATAGCAGCCTGTGCCGTCCAGAATGTATTGCTGTGTCGTATTCTTGCGGATTCCTCGCATAACGGTCAATAGTTCGTCTTGAGCGACCCGTCTGACGAGCGATTTCCCGATGGGACAAGCCGTTGTTGAGTAGAGCATCGATTACCGCTTTTTCGGTATTATCGAGTTGAGAAGATTTAGGCATTATGGCTTATAGTGATACACGAGGACTTTTTCTCTTATATACCACTGAAAAAAACAGGAAAAACGTGTTACCGGAAACGGAAACTCGGAAAACTCTGGGGTGGATCTATAATTCTGCGTCGGTCAAAAATCAGATTTTCTCGTATCTTGAAAAACTTTTCAACTGGGTGATTGATAATTATGATATGATTATGTTCCTTATCAACAAGGTTTATCCCACAAAAAGTTTGGTGGCTGAAAGTTTTTCAATCTTTCTTAAAATCGGAGAAATTAGGGTGGGTCTATAATTATGCGTCGCAGTGTATAAGCAAATCGTCATTACCTCTCACAAACGAGGTTGTAGAGAGAAGCCAAGCTAATATTACCAATGATATACTCGAAAAAATCATAGGGATAATCACCTATCAAACAAAAAGTTTCAGCTTTGAGGAGCCTCTTACCTGAGCGCATAAGCTGTACAAAAGTGACTTCTGTATATTACGCGTTTCAAGAGAAATATTACTACTTTGATTTTTTTCAATATGTATAAACCATGAGAAAAATAGAATGCGATTTGGGATATAAGGAGAGCTGAGGCCAAGGTAAGGAAAAAGGCAGTTTTATTTGTCAAATCCATAACAAAAGCATAGGATTCGAAGATATGAGGCGGTTCGCATTGAAGAATCTCAAAGTTTGAGTTCATGATTGCTTCTGAATTATAAAACCTCAAGGACGGCTAGCTTTGCTGTGTACTGATCAACGGGCGATGCAACTTTAAGAAATGTGATCCCAGCAAATAATAAAAAACAATTCCCCAAAACCAGCGGAATTCGGTAGATTTTTTTGAGTTTGAACGGACTGTCCATCGGCAGAACGATATAGTGACGATATTCAAAAAGAAGTAGAATCGACAAGAAAACACCTCAAAAAAGCTTTCAATAATAATCAACAGGTCTTACTGGCTAGAGACAAATCCGCTATAAAAAATTGAAAGATCGTTGGAACCCCCAATGTTTGGAACCAACCAAACGAATAACCTGCCAGAGCTGGAAAATAAAAAATAGGTGTCACCAATACTGAGACAAGAAAGTCCATACAAATCACCCTTAAAATTCAAGTGTCATCTTTGAACCCTTAAGGTAACTCACCAAAACTGATAGTTCAACAGAAACCACTTATAGTGTTTCATAGCAATTGGTGAAAGAAGCAGAACACTGAAGAATGAAACGAGATTTAGTAACATACTTACTGGAAAAATCAAGGCTTCTATCAGCTTGAGATTCTCCTCGCCGATTAGTTCATCATCACAACGAGGAAAATTCATGATTTCTGCAGCTCAGTCAAAAATGAAACTCAAGCTAGCTAGGTATGGCTCTTTTTTCACTCAGCAGGTGCATTGGACGTAGCCAAGAGGGACAAAATTAACGATTACGATTTCTTGTTTTTTTATGTAATATGAAAATCTTTTTAATGAAAAAAATTTATTGGAAAATAAACTGTTCAATATGGTGCCACTTTCATGTTATTCATACAGCTTGCAATAGGAATGCTTGTCCTTGGTTCTGGAAGTTAGTTCATTACAGCAAAGCTTGAAAAACAACTGTACCTGTTTTCCACAGGAAACATTTCGTTAGGAAGATCCTTAGTCTCAAAAGAAAGTTGTGATAGTTTTTAATCGTAATAATTATGCAGATTGACGAGGTCCCGCCGTGCGAAGAGGCCATTATGACAATAATTGGGGAGATCGCTTCAAGCTAATTTTAAAATTTTCAGTGGGAAAAATACCTTTTATCATTCACAAGGAGGAAAACCCATAATTATTAGCTTCGCCTGGAAAATTGATCTTTAAAATAAATATTGAGGTTGATCATGTGGACACAGGTGCGTTATTTCAAATGAAACAAGCTTTTTGTATTTTTGAATAATAACGGAGCGTTCCTATTTGCAAAAATGCAGTTTAAAACCAAATTCTTGCAATTGAAGCTCGTGATACGATGTTTATGGTGAGATCATTAGCGCGATTTTTATTAGGTTTAAAAAAAAAATAATAAATGATGATAGGAAGTAACAAAATTCATAATTTTTGTTGCAATTCTAAGTGATCCATAAGAAAGTAAGATTTTACGTTCCTAACTGAAAAGAAACTCTATAAACACTTCCATAATAAGAAGAAGTCAGAAAGACGTAGCCATTATTAAGCAGCAAGCCATTCCCCATGTAGTGACGCAATTAGATAACAATAAAGCCAGTAGAGTCTGTTATTTGTGGCGAACTTTATTTGGTAAGAAGCAGGTGTAATTTTTCTGGGAAATTTCCTCATAAAAATACTTGATTTCCGGGCTGTGTGTCATTTATTCAAAAGGGTATTGAAACAGTTGTGTATTTATAAACTTTATATAAATTAGTTTATCCTCAAAAAAATGAACTATTCATTTGTTTCTTGTTCGAAGTGGGCTGCGACGTTCTATCGTGGCACTGGACACATTTTCTGGAAATTCCCACAAAAAAGCTAGTCATTTCAACGAAACTATACCCGTTTTTGATAAAAAACTGATGGCTGACCAACACTTTAACTTCAAATAAAACTTTCGATAATATTCGTTTGAGAAAATAGTGAAGGTTGAAGAAATGCAACCGTGAGAAGTCATCAGGAAGACGATAATTGGGGATATTGCTTCAAGTTTCATTTCCTTATTGATGACTTAAAAGTTGGCACCTTTTATCGAGGGTCTTGTAAAGACGAGCCAAGCGGCGATGATCAATGGAACGCACACAAAAACCATTGAAATGCTCACCTAGAGCTTGATTTTGAGTTGAATTTTCGAGTATATAAGGCTCTGCTGTGGTTAGAAAAGATTTTTTCGAGTTCGGGTAGTTTATAACTCTTAATATAGTCAATTCAACCCGACTTGAAAGACTAGGAAGGCAGAGAAAAGGGAGGGACGCGTAGCGTGCGCGTTCGCGGTTCTTTGCACGTTTCTTTGCAAGTTCAATTCAACCGCCAGCGACTATTTGGAAAGCTCTTTTTTTTATTCATCCAGAAGTTCATACTGTTTTTAATGAAATTTCCAGAAATTTCTAGCTCTCACTTTTCTGAAATTGAAAGAAAAGCGATCTTTTCAGGCGCGCTTGAATTCATCCCAAGCGTATATTCCTCGTGCAGTCAAGAAGTAGTTTGCTTGACAAAAATTTTACTATTATAGTCAATGTTTCCCGACTTGAAAGGCAAGGGAGGCGGGGCAGGGAGCGGGACGCGTAGCGTGTGCGTTCGCGGTTCTTGGCACGTGTTCAATTTAACCGCTATCTACTCTTTGAAAAGCCCGTTTTTTGCTTTTTTTCATTCCTTGTTCAATTATTTATTGATTATGTTCATGTGTGCGTCAAAAATAGCAGAAAACATTGAAAAAGAGCGGTTGCCGAGCTTTTTAAATAGTCGACGACAATTGAATTGAACACGTGCCAAGAACCGCGTATGCACACGCTACGTGTCCCGCCCCTTTCCCCGCCTCCTTCGCCTTTCAAGTCGGGAAACATTGACAAATTTATCTCTATTGATTTCAATCTCACCTGACCGCACAAGTTGTAGAAGAACGTTTTTTGCATCTGACGAGTTTTTGCAGACATATGAGCGCTCTGCTTGTTCAGAACGTACAGCCCATGGGCACAAAAGAATACGAACTGAGATACAATGACGACAGCAAGTACACAAAGAAACCAGGCAGGTTTGGAAGTTAAATCCAGAACTAATGAGCAGGATGTGAAGATGTGAGGTGGTATACACTGCATCATCTGAGAGGAAAACTCAAAATGAGTCTCTGATGTGATTCCTCACCTCAACAACTTTCCATTTGGCTGCCAACTGATTACCTGGTGCTGTTACTATCAGGAATATAAGCCCACCGGTACACAAGAAACAGTTGCTCAAAATTAGCAAAATGCGGACCCGCGTCCGGAACCGAAAAGGACTTTTCATCGGCAGGACGCTATGATGTCGATGTTCGAATAGCAGAAGAATAGACAGAACGACGTCTGAAAAAAAAACGGTTGTTCTACGAATGGATTCTATCGGCCCACTCATCAAGCTTGAACTAGCAAAAATTAATTGAACAACTATGGAAACGCCCATTGATTGAAACAACCCAATGGCACATCCGGCCATAGCTGGAAAATAATACATTGGCGTCGCCAACAATGGAAACATAATATCCATGAAGATGACCCTATAAAGCATCTTTCGATCTTCCGAAACGATTTTTCCCACCAAGTTTGATAGTTGAGAAGCACCCATTTGTATTTCTTCATTGGAGCAGGCGAAAGAAAGAGGATACAGAGAAAAGCAATGATATTGATTGGCATTATGAAAGGAAGAATCAAAACTTCTATGAATTTGAAGTTTTCTTCACTGAAGAAACCAACTTTTTCTTCACAGTGAGGAAAATTCATGCTGCTCACGTGTCAGACGGAAACTTGGGTCGTTGGATAAGCCCGAATGAATTGAAAAAGCAGCAGGTGCCCTTTTTGTAACATCCTGTGAAAAGGCGAAAAGTTTTTTTTTTCAAGTCGGAAATGTCCATTTCGTAAGCCTCGCAGAAGCGTAGAACCACTCCAAATGCGGTCACTTCATAGAACAGATAGTAATATTTGGATCAAAAAGTAGTCATCGAATAAGATATCTTCATTGTTGGACCTCCAACAGAGTTGGTGACTGGTTTTTCTGAAAAAAATAAAACTTTTCTCAACTTAATGGTAACTCAATCCAACTAACCGTTTCTTAAGGATAATTTCATCAGAAAATAACTCCAGAAACGCTGAAGGAAATTTCGATATTGTTTATTGGCAATTATCATGAAGATTGAGGAGACGCCGCCGTGAGAAGATATCACAACGACAATTACTTTCGGCACAGCTACAATACAAAATAAACAACCTTGAAATCAGCTAAATACCAAGATTGGAATTTTTGGTCGTAGTGAGCCAAGCGGCGATACCAAGTGGGGCGCACAGGAAAATCATTGGGATGCTTACCTAAAAAGAATTTCTCAGCACTTCACTTGATTCTCACCTGACCACACAGATTGTAAAAAAAGCTTTTTTGAATTTGTCGAGTTTTCATGGACATGTGGTTGCTCTGTTTGTTCAACACGTAAAGACCATGTGAGCATAAAAATGATAACTGGACTACCATAATAATAGTTATTAGAGTAATGTAAAATGCCGATTTTGACGTTAAATCAAGAACAAACGCACAAGAAGTGAAGATATGAGGTGGCTCGCATTGTAAAGTCTTTAAAACAAGTTTGACTGTCAACTTTCTAACATTTTGAACCTCAATGACTTGTAACTTTGCCTCATATTGATTTTCTGGAGCTACTGCAATTAGAATCAGAACTCCAAAACTGAAAAAGACGATATTGCCCAAAATGAGAAGAACTCTAATAGAAGTTCTAAATTTAAATGGGCTGTTGGCCGGTAAAACGCTATGATGACGGTATTCAAATAGAGCCAGAATGGAAAATTGAATACCTAAAAAAAAGTCTTCAATTTGAACTTTCAGGTGAATTCTCACTCAAGGAAATAAAGCCACCGATAGTTAGTTGAATAACTATTGGAATTCCAATTGTCTGAAAAAATCCCATCGAGCAACCGGCCAAAGCTGGCAAGTAGAACAACGGTGTTAACATGATCGGAATCAATATATCCATTGCAATGACACTGATTTTATCGTCTTATGATGGAGAATTGAACACCACTTACCAAATCTGATACGTCAAGAGCACCCATTTATATTGTTTCATTGAGGGAGACGAGAGAAACAAGATACAAAAAAACGCGACGCTATTTATTGCAGTGATGAATGGAAAAATTAAAGTTTCAATAAACTTGAGATTTTTCTCATTGAAAAAGTCGTCTTCGGTTTCACAAGGAGCGTACTTCATAAGTTTTCAGGGCTAGGAAACCTTGATGAGTGGAAGTGAGAGCTTTCTACTTTCTCATTGATTCCCGCAGGTGCAATTATTGCGTAATTAAGAAAAGGTAACGGATAACGAACTTGTTTCAGCAAATAGTTTTCATAGGTAAAACAAAAATCTTAACTCAAGTATAGTCAATTTTTCCCAACTTGAAAGGCGAAGGAGGCGGGGCAAGGGGCGGGACGCGTAGCGTGTGCGTTCGCGGTTCTTGGCACGAGTTCAATTCAATTGTCGCAGACTATTTAAAAAAAGCTCGGCAACCGTTCTTTTTCAACTTTTTATACTATTTTTTGATGCACACACGAACATAATCAATTAATAATTGAAACAGGAATGAAAAAAAAAGCAAAAAACGGGCTTTTCAAAGAGTAGATGGCGGTTGAATGGAACACGTGCCGAAGACCGCGAACGCACACGCTACGCGTCCCGCCCCCTGCCCCGCCTCCCTCGCCTTTCAAGTCGGGAAGCATTGACTATATGAAGAAATTTCTGGTTCCTATTAGAAGATTTTATACAAGCACTGAAACTTTATTGACCAAAATATCACTAAAAGAGTATCAAAAAGTGGTCATGTTTTGAGAGATTCTCAATGATGGAGTGCGGCCCCCGACTGGAGCATTGACTGGGGTATCTTAAAAAAATGTTTTGAGCTTTTTTTTCGATTTCACTGAACAAACCTTTGCTGGGAAATAGCCATTTAAGAAAATAGCTAGGGAAACGAAGGATATAACTTCGATAAGGTTTATTGGCAAAGATAGTGAAAGTCGAAGAAACGCCGCCGTGTAGAGATAACGTTATAACAATTATTTTTGAAAAAACTGAGAGCAGTAAAATTTTAGCGCCTAGGAAAAAGAGGTACCTAGGGTTGAGATTTCTGTTGTAGCTAGCCAAGCAGAAAGGCCAAGCGGGCCGCCCAGAAAAATCATAGGAACGCTTATCTTTATTTAAATTTTTGAAAGTCTTCTTTTTCATCCTGACCTGGCCGATGAGACTGTAAAAGAAGGTCTTCTGAAGTTGCCGAGTTTTGGCAGACATGTGACCGCTCTGCTTGTCCAAAACGTAAAGCCCATGGGCACATAAAAATACAAGTTGGAATGCCACTATAACAGTGATCAGAGTCATGTAGAACTGAGTTCTCGAAGTTAAGTCTAGTACGAAAGAGCAAGATGTGAAGATATGAGGCGGTTCACATTGAAGAATCTTCAAAAAAAAAACTTTGTGTTTGAGTATAACGATTTTCACTACTTAAAACGACGCTATCAAAAAATAAAAAGAAACCAAAAGATGGAAGCGGAAACCAGACAAGCCGGTTTCAAGCAGCGCCAAATAAAATTTTAACCTCAATAACTTGCAGCTTGGCTTTATGTTGATCTGCAGGAGCTAATAAAATCAGGAGAACTACAGCAGAACTTGCAAAAGCGCAATTGCCCAAAGTGATCCAAATTCTGGTGGAAGTCTTGAATCTGAACGGGCTGTAGAAAGGCAGAACGTTGTGATGACGGTATTCGAAAAGAGCTAGAACGGAAAATTGGACGCCTAAAAGGTAGAAAGTTAGGCAACCAGAAGGAGAGAAACTCACTCAAGAAAGTGAAGCCACCAATGACGAGTTGTACGATTATTGGAATTTCAACCGTCTGCAACCAACCCAGTGAACAGCCGGCCAGAACTGGTAGATAAAATAGAGGTGTCACCATGATCGGAATGATTATATCCATCGAAATGACACTAATCGAAACTTTCTCATTAGCTTCATCAAAATCAACTCACCAGGTCTGATAGATCAGAAGCATATATTTATAACGCTTCATGGGCGCAGGCGAAAGATAAAAAATACAGAGAAAAGCAACAATATTTATTGCCATTACGAAGGGAAAAATTAATGTTTCAATTAACTCGAAATTCTTGTCGTTCAAAAAGGCGGCATCGTTTTCACAAGGAGGAAATTTCATATTTATTGAAGCTTACTGAAAAGGTAGAAACGAGCCGGTCGAATCGAAATTCGTAGAATTTTTGATAGCGTAAAAAATTGCAGCTGCATTTGTTATAGTGGATACGGAGTAGTTAAAAAATAAATGAGAGAAATTTATATTTTTTCTTTTTTTTGCTCATAGTTTCTTAATCTTCTATAGTCTGCGTACCACAACTTGGAATTCCACCAAACGACATTCCGCTGTGCCGCTGCGCGCCTTTGCGAACCTTGGTCGCGCTTTTTATTTTTTTCCTTTTTTATTAAAGTGCCCTACTTTCATGTGCTCCCACAGCAATAACAATCAATTGAAAGCGAGACCTATATTCGAAATACGCTTCGCAAACGCACGCAGCGGAACAGCGGAATGTCGTTCGATGAAATTTCAAGTCGTGGCACACATATATCTCATTAAAAAACAAAAGCTGAAAAAAAATTCGTCTAAAAAAAAACATTTATTAATACTGGTTTCATTGGGATCATCTTGGTAATTTCGAAAATGATTTTTTTCTTTTTTTTTAAATGATTTTTTTCTTTTTTATTTCGAAAATGATTTTTTTCTTTCTGAGTTATTGTGAGACGACATTTTTATGGAAGTTCCTCAAGGCTGAGTTCCGATCTGCCACTGGTTTGTGGACCGTTAAACCTGCGAAATAATGACTTCATGAACTTTTTTGAACCACAAACCAATTAAAGAGGGATTTTTCAAAAAATAGTCCCGGAAACGAGAGAGGAAGCTGCGATAAGATTTGTTAGCAATGATCATGAAGGTCGAAGACACGCCGCCGTGAAGAGATACCACTATGACAATTATTTTCGGAACAGCTTCCAAGTAGAAAAGTATTACCAAGCCCATTCTGCTTTTGCATACCTAGAGTTGAATTCCTCGTTGTGGTTAACCAAACGGCGAAACTAAGTGGGAGGCAAAGAAAAAGCGCGGGAATGCCGGCCTAAATATATAAAGTTCCACGCCAACTTTTTACAAATAGTCCGTTTTTCGCGACTTGAATCTGATGTTTTTCTCTGCGCCCTCCTGGTCTCTCGACGAACCTTTCTTGTTGACGCGCTGTTTTCGCGTTTCTGTGACCTCGCCGGTTAGAGAACAGAGAGACGCAGACACTCAAAAACTGTCAAGTCTCGGTGAACGGACTATATACAAAGCCGTTTGCTTTTTTCGAACAAAAAGAAAAAGGCCTCAATGCGAGAAGACGACTTCACTGTTATTTCAAAACACGCAAGGATCCCTTTATCATTTTGGAGAATATTTGAAAGACTATCTATTGAATTATTATCTTTCTATATACTAACCTGTCCGCAAAGGTTGAAAAAGTACGTCTTCTGAAGTTGCCGAGTTTTCGCGGACATGTGGCCGCTCTGTCTGTCCAGAACATACAGACCATGTACGCAGAAGAAAGAAAGTTGTAAAATCATTATAACCGTAATAAAAGATATGAAAAAGGCAGCTCTGGAGGTCAAATCAAGAACGAATGAGCAAGAAGTGAAGATATAAGGCGGTTCGCACTGTAAGAACTGGAAAAGTGGTTTGAGACCTCTGCTCCAAAATCATTATAAAAACCTCAATTACTTTCAATTTGGCTGCGAGTTGATCCGCGGGAGCAGCTGCAATGAGCAATAGAGCTCCGCAACTGAAAAAAAAGGCAATTTCCGGTAATGAACAAGACGCGAATCGAAGTTCTGAATCGAAAAAGGCTGTTGATCGGCAGAACAGTGTGATGACGATATTCAAATAGAGCTAACATCGTGAACTGTATGCCTAAAAAGCGGAAAAGGACTGATAAGTTTTGGAATCAAAACTCTCACTTAACAGAACGAAGCCGCCCATAACCAGTTGGATGACGATCGGGACCCCGATCGTTTGGAACCAACCCATCGAACAGCCGGCCACAGCGGGCAAGTAGAACAGTGGCGTTAACATTATTGGAATCACAATGTCCATTATAGTGATGCTGCATTCAACCAATCAATCACGATAACTGACAACTACTCACCAAGTCTGATAGCTCAAAAGTACCCACTTATAATGTTTCATAGATGGAGGCGATAAAAACAGGATGCAGAAGAAGGCAGTGACATTGACTAGTGTGATAAACGGGGCGATGCACGTTTCGATTAGTTTGAGATTTTTTTCGTTGAAAACATCGTTCTCGATCTCACAAGAGGGGAAATTCATAATTGGCAAAGCTCGCCGAGAAGAAAAAGCAATCAGAATGTGAAATAAAAAATGTTTATTTCTCGAGAAACGAAGCAGGTGTTTTTTTTTATAATGAATCGTCAGTTTCCCGAGAAATAAAGTTGATAATTTTCCCATGAACCCAAAATCAAATGTGTAAAGTTTTATAAACACATTAAGCAATCTGAAACGTTCAAAAAGGAATTGAAACTCAAATTTAAAAAAAAAAAAACATTACAAATTCATGGAAGCATAAACAGTTTTTTTATGACTCGTAACATTTTTATTAGGCAGACATTTATAAAAGAAATTTTCTCGATTTCTCTTCCAAAAAGCGCCATGAAGCTGCCGATAATACTTCTGATCGTTTTTCAGCTCGCACGGGCTTCAACCAACTACCGATGCACCCAACTTGTGAGATGAAACTTATTTTTTTCTCAAGATACATTGAACTTTCAGCAAAACACTGTTCAAAATCAACATGTTTCCCTGGAGACTCCTCTTCAAGTTGGCGATGAAATCGTCCTCGAAGGCATCTTTAGTAAAAATGCTGATAAGTGAGTTTTGATTGAATTTTGGTAGGAGTTCTCAGGGCCCGACTATAAACGGTTTTCGCTCTCTCTCTCTCCTTCCAACCAGGAAAGGTTCCAAACAATACCCACACAGCCGTTTATCTCATAAAAAGGGACTTATGCACCTTTTTTGCTGTCTCTCTCTTCTTTCACTATTTCTTGAGCCCCAGAAAAAAAATGGAAGGCTCCATAAAGGTACTCCTTTTACAGCCTTTTTGCTGCCTTTTGCTGCCTTTTTTGAGTCTCTCCCTTTAGCCGCCGTTATCCACCATTCCTACTTTGCCCGAGTAGACAAGGCTTAGAGTTTTGAAGTTATTTAAAAGGCTCCGAGCCTTTTGAAGCTCGAAATTATGAATGAAGCGCCCCTTGTCATATATATTTTATAATCGAAGATTAGTAAAAAAAAAAACAATGAGAAAAAAACTTTTCTCCGTGTAATAAAACCTTTGAAGTTGATAAAATTACTCAAGGAACAATTTTCATGAAGAATTCTCGATAAGGTCGGTTTGAAATGATGGTGAAAATTGAAGAAACACTTCCGTGAATGGATAAAATGATGACAACAAGCGGAGAGAAAGCTGGAATATTTTCATTATGGCAGCCAAAAAACAGTTTTTGAGACGCATTGTATGATAGGGTTTTTTGAAAGAAAATCTCACCTCGCTGCAGATTTTTTTTGTGGGTGAGTAAAGCACTGACAGCTAGGGGGATGCACAGAAAAATCATCGGGATGCTCACCTAAAGTTTCATTTTTTTTTTTTGATACTTTTATAAGGTTACTATGATTGTTATGGAATTTACGAAAAGCAGCATTTCTGACTAAAATTCGATAAATTCGCGTTTTTTGAAGAAAAAAGTAATACGTTTAGACATAGGATTGTGACGATGTTTGTAAAAAAGCTCAGGAATGAGAGAGTCGTCCCCCATAAGGGCAATCTTAAAAGCCCTTGAGGTTTTCCCTCTAGGGACACTTTACCTCTCTCTGATTGTCGTTTATTTTTATGGACCTTCTATAAGAGGAGCATGCGAATTTTTTCATTCTCATATGAAAAAATTTTAAGGTCCTATATGGACCACTTAAGCTATAGAAGCTTGAGGGCCAGAGCTTTTTAATCCCTATAGTGACCACCTAAATTTTATCTCTGTACTGAGCATTTTTTATTCCCTATAGGGACCGCTCTGGCGTTCCAAAGTTTGGATAAATTTTGAAAATGGTCTTCAAAGTTTCGAACGAAGTGTACTCATATAAACCAACGAACCTGAGCGCACAAGTTATAAAAATAGAATTTCTGAAGACGTCGAGTTCTAGCCGACATATGGCTGGTTTGCTTGTGCAATATGTAGAGTCCATGGACGCAAAAAAGTCCGTATTCCAACGAGACGGAAATCCCTTTGATTGATATGAACCACCCAATCCTGGGCGTCAAATCCAGAACCAGGGAACAGGAGGTGAAAATGTGATTTGGGACACACTGTAGGGTCTGTAATTCGAGAAATGAGACGAGACTTGAAATCAAGCTCAATTTTTCCAAACTTGACTCTTTTTTCATAAATACCGATTTTTTTCTGCATTTCCAGGCAGACAATTTATGACATATGGCCATTAAATAAGGAGTATCGTTTTCATATTGTAGAGAATTCCCTAGAAAATGTACAGAAGCTCCTAATTTCAGAGAAAAAAATTTAAAAAAAAAACACATTGTTTCCCGCCAAAACTGCATTTTGCAGCAAAGCTGCTCTATTGATAAAATTCATGTTCTGGTGGTCATTTATCTTTTCGTACTCCCAAAAAAAGTTCATTGCTTCTTTGAACTAAGAATAAAGTTTCCTACCTCAATGACTTTGAGCTTGGCCCCATATTGGTCGACCGGCGCCATGGCTATAATGACTAGGAATCCCCCGGAACCCAAAAAGAAACTGCACAGCAGGAAAATGATTCGATATCGTTTTTTGAACCGGAATGGACTATTCATAGGTAGGACATTGTGGTGACGATACTCGAAAAGAGTTAGAATCGAGTATTGAACGCCTAAAACTGGGATATAGAGGATGAACTTTGACGGCTCGTACTCGAAACCGATACGGCTCCAATGCCAGTTTGAATTTTTATGGGTACTCCTAAGGTTTGGAACCAGCCGATAGAGCAGCCAGCCATTGCAGGAAGATATAACCAAGGGGTCAACATTATTGGGAACAGGATATCCATGATCATAACGCTGAAAACGTAATTTTTCCCATCGAAATCCATTTCCGGAGCTCGAAACGTTAAGATGCGAGGCAGTCGCGAAGCGGTTTTTAGCGCGAGAGAGCGTGCTTTTTTTCTCTAGTGCCCTCTTGCGCCCTAATACTCTCTAACTATTGAAGGTTCGAGCCTACGTTAAAATTATAGTCCGTTCACCGCGGCTTTACACTTTTCGAGTGTCTGCGTCTCTCTGTTCCCTCACCGGCGAGGTCAGAGAAATACGAAAATAGCACGTTAACATGAGATGGTCGTCGAGAGACGAAGAGGACGCAGAGAAAAATAGCAGTTCCAAGTTGCGAAAAACGGACTACATATAGCCTGACCTCCTTGAATCATTTCTCAAGCTCCGCCCACTCAGCCGCGATCAACCAATAATTTTTTGAATGACGTCATTGTGACAGTTTTCGAGTGTCTGCGTCTCTCTGTTCTCTCACCGGCGAGTTTAGAGAAACATGGAAATATCACATAAACATGAGAGAGACGTCGAGAGACGAGGAGGGTGCAGAGAAAAATAGCAGTTTCCAGTCACGAAAAATGGTGTATATCTTTCTGTTTGTTGCGAATGATTTAATTTTATTAACAGGGAAAAAAAAACGCAGCGCGACCGCTTTGCACCCGTTTAAGCCCTCACCAAGCTTGATAGTTCAAAAAGAGCCATTTATAGCTTCTCATCGCTTTCGGGGACAGGAATAGAATACTGCAGAAAGCAATGATATTCAGCAACAAGATAAATGGGAAAACGAAAGTTTCGATTCGCCGGAAATTCTTCTCACTGAAAGTATCGGTCTCCTGCTCACATGGAGGATAGTTCAATAATAAGTCGGGATCCATCTTCCAGAAAAAAAAAGAAATATTTCGGAAGCTTGAAGATGTGGGGTTTTCACAACAAACGTGTGATATTCCCATGGAGGTAGGTGTATGTTTTCGTCTTTTTTTTCGAAGCTTCATTATTTTCTGTTCATTTCACGCTTCAGTTGCTTTGTGACGTTTATCTGATGCGTTTTTTTTCAAAGAACTTCTAGTTGAAGCAAGGATTGTTTAATGAGAGTAGGATTTGTCGGAAGTTTGAACTAATTGAAAAATATTGTTGAAACAAAAATTGCACTTCGGAAATCTCACCAGAAAAAAATCAGTGATTGATTTTTTTTTTATTGTTACAATTCCATTTTAATGACATTGATTTCTGCGTGATTTTTTGTCGCATTTGGAATGGCTCAACGCGAGAGGCGTTTCCACTGACGACCCGCGCGAAAGCCGTTTCAAGTCGGGCGCTTCGTAAAAAAAAAGCTGCGGACCTCTTGGGGTGAAAAATTATTAACTCTAATTTTTCCAGGTTCACCTTCCATTTGTACGAAGGAAGTCAGCCTGGCGGTTCAATTTCTCTTCGGATCACGAATAGAAATGGTCAAAGTACCGAGTATAATTCCTTCGAGGTTCATTCTAATCTTATCAATGATTCATCAAACTTATAAATTCTAGAATGGCGTCTGGGGGAAGCCCATTTTTGGATCTCAACTCGCCGCAACGGGACAGACGTTCATGTTCACGATTCGGTGAGAATGTTTGCTCTATTGAGAAAATTGATAAAGAAAATTTGCTTTGCGGAAAATTCTAGTGGCCGCTTAAGAGGTTCCTCAGGACTAGGGTGGCCACTAAAAATACCTCTATAGGGCCACTAAAAATACCTCTATAGAAGCTCTATTCTGGGTGTTAGGGGCCACTATAGTAGTTTTTAGGGTCTAGTAGTGCTTCTGGACCCCTAAAAAGGCCACTGGCTCCTAGGCACTTAAGTGTGGCCGCTAAGTCAACTTCTATAGTGGCCACTGAAACTTCAGAACTTTTAAGTGTCCACTAAAAGTTTTCCCAGTATGGAACATCATGAGATCACGTTAAAGTTATGGGACATCATGTGGTTTGAATTTTCAGTCATGACGTCATGAGGTTGTTAGATGACGTCACGAGGAAGTTAGATGACGTCATTTAAACTATAACGAAGCATATGTTTTTAAAATTTGAAATTAGACGTATTCATCTCATTTTGTGCAATGTTTTTTTTTTCTAGAAAACTGATTTCGAAACTTTGTTCCATATGCAACTTCCCTTTCAGATAACTTTTAAGTTTCTGAACAAGTTCAGGGTTCATCCTTATTACTACGAAATATTGCGGAGAGACCAGCCAACCGTCATTTTCCCATATCAAGTCAAAGCCACAAAGGTCCAAGCGATTGGAATCGAGAATATCGAATTCAGGAGTATCACGTTAGTTTTTTTTTTGATTTTCTAAAAATCAATAGATAGGAAAAGATCACGTTGGTCTTTAACTTTGGCTATTCGCCTTGAAAATAATTTGTTCAAGTTTTTAACTTCACATCTAAATTTGAACCAAAGAAGGATAAGGACTAAAAATATCACCTTTCTTCGTATCCTGTTCCCTTCGAACCAAAAAAGTCTAATAAAAACCCGCTTTTTTCAATAAATTCAATCTCTTTTACGGATCTTCAAGAAAATCCTATGGAGAGTTGAAATAAAATTTTATTTTTTTATGGCTCAATTATCAAAAAGTTCAATCAGCAGATTTTCAAAATATCCCGGCTAACCTTCAACTTCAACTCAAAAAAGCAGAAAATGTTGTCTCTTCCAAATTTTCAACTCTTTACAGTTATCAGTAAATCATAACCTAGTTAACCAGAAAAAAACTTCTATGGGTCAATTTTCAAAAGTTCAACCAATAGTCTTTGGAAATATCTTTTTTTTTGAAGAACCGATAAAGTATAACTCGAAAAGAAAACCGCAGAGAATAATTTTGCCTTCAAATTCTTATTTTGCAAACATTCCATTTGTCTTTGAATGATATCTGAGTAAACCAAGAAAGATTTGATTTAATAACGGTGACCAACTGTCACGATTTCCGCCGAGATATCTTAGAGCGCAAGTCGCTAATTGTCGGGTGCACTTGCGCCTGTGACCAAACTAGACACAACCGACTATAAAGTACGAAGAAATCATCTTTTCCAGAAAATGCTTCCCTGAGTTCATGGGCAAGCGAACGAACGAGAAAGAGCAGATTCTTATCGGCCTGGGAATGGTTCAGGTTCTATGTGAGTTTTTTTTTTGAAGATGTGAAAAATTAACTTCTTCTAAGAAATAAGAAGCGTTCAAGTTTGAGATCATTTTCATGAAGCTTTTCGAAAATTTTCAAAAAAGAAGAGGTTTCTTAAAGGCATAGGGGCAGTAAAAAACGGTATTTCAGTTCAAAGCAGTACTTTGTAGAGTTTTTCATTGCGAATCGAACGGTGAACTTGAAAACGTACAGAAGTTCCTAGTTTTGGAGAAACAATAATTCAAATTCGGAGAAAGGAAAGCTTGAGTTCCCGCGAAAAGGGCGCTTTGCAGTAAAGTTGCTCTATGGACAACAGGGTTCGCCATCTTCCGGATATTCGCTTTTTTCTTCGTTTCTTTAAATTTTCAATTTTTTTCTGTCGTCACCAAAGCTCTTTTCGTCACAAAAGCTTTCTATTTATGTATAGTTTGCAAACTTTAATCGCAAAAAAGCTTTTCTAATGAAAAATAATGATTTTACACAGGTTTCGATTGGGATAGCGATTATTTGTGTTTTCTTTATTATCATTGTGTTTTCTGTTTTCTCAATCGATTTTTCAGAGAAGAAACCCTTGATTTGAGGCAGATAGCAGGTTATTTTTCACAAATTGAGAGTCTAATGAGACGTCCGCAACATTGCGTGCACGGCTACTGTAAACATTTGTCCGTATGCCGATCGAAAGCTTTTTTCAAAAATGAAGGCGGGAAAGTAAAATCGCGTTTTTCTTCTAAAGTTGTCACATCTGTAATTTTTTTGAGTACACCGTTCGATTCGCAAAGAAAAACTGTATAAGATACTGCTTTCACCTGAAACTCCATTTTTTACTGCCCCTATGCCTTTAAAAGAAGTTTCTCTATACCGAAGTTTTACAAATCTGTCCGCAAAGTAAATATTTCTTCAGACGACGACCCTCGGCTCGTGAATAGAGGTTGAGTCCTGGTTTCAGAACTCCACGAGAAACTCTGCCTTTACAATAAATGTTGCATATTTTGAGTGCTTTGACAATGGGCGTGGTTTCTAGCGTAAGCAATAAGAAGCAAATTTTGCTGTAACATGAGCAACGCCTATATATTACGATCATCTTATAAAAAACGTTGATGGAGATCCAAAAGTTTAAATTTTGTGGATATTTAAAGTGCGAAAGAAAGCTCCGCCGGTTCAGCATGAGCAATACTGAGTTTTCCTTAGTCTTCAACTGTAACATGAGCAATAATGAGCTGTTTTTGAGCATTTGGTTCAAGAAAATCGAAAATTTTTTTTCACCCTCACAAACACTTTTTAAGAAAAAACAAGTTTATTAGCCGTTTTGACACATTCAAATCAATTCAATCACAAATCAATCGATGAAGTTTACACGTTTCTGGCAAGAGATTCTCATAAATAATATCAATATATACATATGAATCGGATAAATGCTACAAAAAGTACATATTTGGCACCTAGAAACACGGGAAATCAAAACAAGAAGCCAGGTTGCAGCTGGGCCGGTAACCTGAGCAATAATGAGGTGTTGAAGAGGCGTGGCGTCACTGTGCTGGATGCGGTTCGCTTGCGTTGGAGCGCAGAAGCTGTAGGTTTGGGAGAGAATCGCGGAGGAAGTTTGAAGGCGAATTGAAGAGGGGATGAAGGCGTTTCGGATTCTGAAAATGGACTGGATTAATAAGGTTGAAAAATAAGGCTTTTGGGATTTTGAAGACGTTGAGAAGTCTTTAAGGTAAAAAATGGAAAACTCTTGAGCTTTGAACATTTTTGAGTTCTTAAAAATGACTGTAAAAAAAGAAAAGAATAATCAAAAAGCCATTAGTCGGGGGTTCCATAAATTCATAGAATTTGGAATAGCATTTTTTTGGACTTCTAATGCAACCTCAACATCTTCAAAAAAACTAACGAAAACGAAAAAAATAATAATAAAATCAAACCGAACCTGTCACATTCATCTTCTCCAGCGTCGTCCTAATTTTGAGCGCTTGGGCCATCGAAGCTGTAAAATCGGGCCTAGGGACAGCAAAACTGAAGTTTCCAATAGGGAAATGGTCCACGGGAACTTCGAAAATCATGAATTTAAAGTACTTTCTGGGATTGAATAGTTTCAAGCCAAGAGTCCCCACGCGGCCCCTTTTATAACCATTTGGCTCAGGCTCCGCCCACTTTTTCTGAGCTCACGACTCCGCCTCGGGGAGGCCGTTCTTTGCGTCAGAAGCGTTTTTTTTCTTTCTTTGTAGAAACAAAGAACTGTTGGTTTTTTTTATTATTGGAATGGAAACTTAAGATTTGAAGTGCGTGGAAGCGAGGTTTGAAAATAATTTAGAATTTTATGTGACAAAAAATTAAAAAAGGTTTTAAAAGGTTCTAAAAATGATATCCTACAAGGGAACTTATTTAGTGTGAAATTTGAAATTCTCTGATATTTGGCCAAAATTTTCCTAGATATATCAAAAGATGCCCTAGTTTTTGAAAAATAATGATTCAAAGTCTGAAAATAACCTATTTTATATAATTTTGATGATTTTTCCAGCTCTCTTTAAAGTCTCCCAATAATTTTTAATTTTTTCAAGTTCACAATATTTTTTCTCTAGCCTAAAAAGCATGTCGTACACTTTAGAAAAATCTTCTTCAAAAATCATCTTTTTCGAATTCATTCTCTGAATACCGCAACCAGACGGCTTAAAATCCCTAATTTTATCTGGAATTTCCGTAAATTCTGTTGAAAATCCCATCAGTTGTTACAAAATGCTTCAATATTTGCGGCGGATAAGCCGAAAATCTTTTTCCGGAGATCCGCGAAAGTTAATCGCAGGCTGAGAATATAAGCAGCGGTTGGAGGTAGGACCAAAATGCAGTTTAATCAGGGGAAGAGGTATCTTTTTAACGAAACATGAGCTGAAAAGGGTAGTGGATTTGAATTACACCCTTGGCTCAGTGGTAGTGCAGTAGCCTCCCAGTTTCGAGTCGCGAGTTCAATCCCCATACTCTTCCATCGCTTTTTTGTTGAAAGCTTTCTGGCAGTGGTTGGAGGTCGAGGGAAAGGTTACATTTGCAAAATCTGCTGAAAACAGTGGTAAACGTAAATGACACCCTTGGCTCAGTGGTAGTGCACTGGCTTCTTAATTTTGAGTCCCAAGTTCAATCCCCACTCTTCCCTCTCTTTTTTGTTGGAAGCGTTCTGGCAGCCGTTGAAGGTGGAACCAAAATGCAGTTTAAAGAAGGGAAGAGGTACTTTTTCCAACAAATCATGTGAATGACACCCTTGGCCTAGTGGTAGTGCACTAGCTTCCCAGTTTCGAGTCCCAAGTTCAATCCCCACTCTTCCATCGCTTTTTTGTTTCAAACTTTCTGGTAGCGATTGGGGTAAGACCTATTTGCAGAGAAATAGGTATGTAATGACCTGAAAGAGGTAGTGAATCCGAATGAGACCCTTGGCTCAGTGGTAGTGAAGTAGCTTCCCAGTTCCGAGTCGCGAGTACAATCCCTCTCCTCTTCCATCGTCTTTGCGTTGGAAGATTTCTAGCAGTGGTAGGGGGTGAAACCAAAATGCAGTTTAAAGAAGGTTAGAGGTACTTTTTTTTCAACGAAACATGTGAATGAGGCCCTTGGCTCAGTGGTAATGAAGTAGCTTCTCAGTTTCGAGTCGCGAGTTCAATCCCACTACTCTTCCTTCGCTTTTTTGTTGGAAGCTTTCTGGTAGCGGTTGGAGGTGGGACCTACTTGCAGGGAAAAAGGTATCTTTATCAACGAACAATGATCTGAAAGAGGTAGTGAAACTGTATGAGACCCTTGGCTCAGTGGTAGGGCCTTATCTTCCCAATTTCGCCTCACAAGTTCAATCCCCATACTCTTCCATCGTATTTTTGTTGTGAACTTTCTTCCCAGTTGTTCTCTGAAAAAACGTTTCCGGCTCCGTTTGTTGATTGTTTTCAAGCGTATACAATGCGCATATCGATATGAAAAAAAAATTCCCCGCAGCCTCTAAGTTTTTAATCAAGGGAAGAGCGGCCATTTGACGCAATCAGTCGGCAAAATCCAGCGTTGATTCAGTCGTCGTTAAATCTTGCATTTGCACTTTTCATGTGCAAGGAAGGTCTACGGAGCTGGATACGGATTCTGGGAAATCAGGACGACTTATATAGAGAGAAACCAAAACGTATCAGTAGATGACTTTGAGCTGGAAATGATCTATTTTTGAATCAGAAAAAGGAATTATAAAGGTCATAATTTTTCGACATTGATTCTAGCACTGAAGCTTCTAATTACTTACTTACTTACTTAGATACTTAGATGGTCCATCTTCGCTTTCGACCTTTTATTGCCTTTTAGTGCCTTTTATTGATCGAAGCGTGGACCACACGTTTTCCAGGAGATCTTATGCAATCGGTCATCCAGTGTTGTCGTCCTGGTTGACTGGTATTCTTGCGAAAAAAATCCATCCCTGGTGTTGAACGTGTTATAGCATAATTTGTGGTCTTATTATCCTTTTTTGCCTTGCCAGGGCTAAAAAAAGACCGCCCATTCTGTTAGCAGAAGCAAGCCGAATTGCGTGACCGGTGTACCGTTAGCCGCCATAAATGGCGTTGCCTCCCCATCACCGCGTAGAGGTGGTACTTGAAGGGAGCTTCTAATTACTAATTTTAAAGATGAAAAAAATTTAAAAAAATTAGTTCAAAAAAAGTTGAAATTGGTTTTTAGGAAATCAGAACCATACTAAAGTTGCATCAAAAAACAATTTAAAGCTGGAAAGGGCCAATTTGGAAAAACTGATGATGTTTCTTTCAATTTTCCTCTATTCACAAGCTTGGCAACAAAATGAACTTCCTAAAAATGATTTATTTTTTTGGTGATTCTGCTTAAGAAGATTGATAACCAACCGTTACGCGTGCAACGTCTCGATTCGTAACGGCTGCAAAGAGGTTGCTGCGAAATGCGCCCGACATGAAACGACTTTCGCGTAGAAACATAGAAAAGCAATGAAGCAAGATTGAGCTATCCTACGAAATTGAGTTTTTAAAAAAATAATTGAGAACTCAAAATCAAAACTTCAAGTCTTCGAAATAACCACCTAAAAGTCTCCGAAGAGCGCAAGTCGTTTCAGGTCGGATGCATATTCATGACGACTACGGCTTTACGAGTTTGAAGGACTGAAGGGTAAACATATGCAGAAAACTTCAAGAATTGAATAAGGCACTATAAAAATAGAAAAAATGAGAAAGTCTGGTTTTGCAGGATAGAAAATAGTCATGTTGACAAAAATGAATAGTGTTCTTCTAACTTTCAAATTCTCAAAATTAAAGGCCTTCTTGAACAGTTGTACCTTTTTTTCTCCACTGCTCGAATACCCAACTCAGTCCCTCCGAACCTCACCCATAACATATCCCCAGCTTTCAGGAACCTTTCCAATCTAAGCCCTACTCAAAGCCCTGCATATTTTCCTTTCCCCTTCTGAGCCAGGCTCTATGACATTTCCTGCCGATCCGCATCATTCCGTTTTTAAGGTTTTTTCGGCGCTAAACAATACGGTTTTAGTGTTCTAATCGGGCCCGGTTTTACGTCATTTGAGGGTTTGAGTCAAATGGACAAAATAGGCGGATGATTCGGAGAAAAGGGGCGTTTCCCTCACTGTTTGAGCCCCCGTCGGAAGCATTCGAATTTCGAGGATTGCAGAGTCGTAAAGTGTTTTTTTGCAACGTAAATATGACTAATGGATATTTTTTTCTCGATTTGCAAAGATCCCAGGAATGAACTTGGGAACTACTTCTGGGAGAAGATCTTTGTCGAGTGTTATTTTGATTGGGAATCCGATTTCCCAGGTGGAATGGCTCGAAGCGTTGCGATCGGAAACTGGTGTCTAACTCTCTCTAACTGTTTCCGATGGTCAAGGGCGCAAGTAGTTTTTGGTCGGTTGCAGTTTATCTAACGCTCTAACAATTTCCAATACTCACGGGCGCAAGTAGTTTCTGGTCGGGTACTTTGTATCAAACTCGCTCTAACAGTTTCCGATACTCAAGAGCAAAAGTAGCTTTCGGTAGCTTTTTACTTAAAAAGGATCATTACAGATCGTTTAACTGGCAGAACGTTCTTTTCACTCGGGAATGTGTTTTTAATGTTTCATGCGCGTAAGTAGTTTTTGGTCGGTTGCAGTTTATCTTACGCTCTCACAGTTTCCGATGCTCAAGGGCGCAAGTCGTTTTTGGTCAGTTGCAGTTTATCTAACGCTCTCACAGTTTCCGATGCTCAGATGCGCAAATCGTTTTTGGTCGGTTGCGAGTTTCAAACAGCCGCATGGATTTTGTTTTCACTTCGTTTTCTCAACCCACTTATCCAAGTTAAGACGTATCCAAGCGAAACCTGCCAGTTAAGATACCGAAAATCTTTTCACATGTCAAAACCTTGTCAGGAACCGATACCTTGACATTCAAAGCCTCAGCCAACATCTCCTTCAAGGAAAAATATTTTTTGTTCCACAAAACATATGAGCTGATAACTCTTTATAACAATCAGATTACACACCAAGACAATTTCAAATGAAGTTCAACTCATTCAGAATGAGACAAGATGATACCCGACACAAGAACAAGCTCCTACGGAATCAGAATTAACCATTGAACAAAAAAATATTTTAAGCTACCCTAATAAACTTGAAAAAGAGGATGAATCGGACAATATCCGAAATGGGAGCTGCAGGAGGTCGAGAGCAGACTTGTTGCGGAAAATTCTGATGGAAAGCGGGGAAGAACCGCGTCGGACCGGCTGGGAGTGGAGAGCTGGAGCACTGTTGGTTCTTTTGAAGGTTGGCGGCAGCTCGGCCCGAAGTCGGGCTCGGTTGTTGAGTGTGGGGAAGTTGAAGTGCGACTGGCGGACTATAAAATGGGGATATTTAGAAGTTTATGATAAATTGATTAAGATATGATTATCTAGATGTTGAAGTTGAATAATTAATGAGAACAAAGGTTGAAGTACGCAAAAAACGACAAGAAATTGGTCAACTATAGTCTATGGAAAACTTCTGAACCCTTCAAAGATGCTTCAAGTCGAAAGTCGTATCAGGCCGGGTGCACCATTCAAGCAACCGTTAAGCATTCTGTCGAACCCAAATTTGTCCAAAATTACCATTTTTTTCACGGAAAAATTCAAAAATAGGATTTTTTTCTTGAATACACTATAATGTACAAAATGGAGACAACACCTAAAATTTTCAAGAAACGCTCAAAGTTTGATTTTCATGCAAAACGAGACATTTAGGACATCCTTTCTTGAATAAGGAGTTTCGACCGCTGAGACTTTTTAGACCTTCAACAAGTACACCTTGTGGGGGAACATGCACTTTAGTAGTTCCAGGCCAATTTTAATGTTTTACTCAAAAATTCCAAAAAAAAAAAACCAACCCGAAGGACTGAGAGGAGGAATATCAGCGGAGACCTGCTCCGACTGTGCCACGACATTGATCGAAGGAAGCCTCAGGTCAGGCTTTCTGACCTGCTGCATCGGGAAATGATCGACGGGTACTTCGAATATCATCTAGTTGGGAGAAGTTAGTTTGACCCCGGCCTCGTGGTCATATTTATAGGAGCTCAAACTGGCTCCTCCTCTAGAGTCCGCCTTTCTCGGATTGCGTTACACCAGCTCATGGCGGCTTAGGAGTCCGACAGTGGGTGTTCCCCAATGAATTCAAGGCTACAGAGGCTCCCGAAGCCCTGACTCAGATTGACTTGCTCCGGGAAGCCGGATCGAAACACATTCTTTGGTTTAAGAATGGACCTTTTTGAGTGGGGGTGGGGGCTTTGAAAAAGACTTACAAAACATTGGAAAAGTAAGCCACAAGGACATGATATCATGAAAAAAAGCTCTGGGCCTTGAATGAATAAAATTCCACACGTTTTGCAGTTGATATACTCAATTTTTGCCGGTAAAGATGTTGTTTTGAAAGTGCACCCGACCTGAAGCGACTTGCGCTCTTCGGCGTCTTTAAAGCGGATAGTTTGAAGTCTTTAAATTTTGATTTTGGATACTGAATTCATCTGTTTATGAAGCTCATGGTCGCAAGAAGTTGCTTGAAATTTCGTTTTTTGCGACCGACTTGAACTGACTTGCGCTCCTCAGCGTCTTGAAAGTCCGACAGTGGATGTTCCCCAATGAATTCAAGGCTACAGAGGCTCCCGAAGCCCTGACTCAGATTGACTTGCTCCGGGAAGCCGGATCGAAACACATTCTTTGGTTTAAGAATGGACCTTTTTGAGTGGGGGTGGGGGCTTTGAAAAAGACTTACAAAACATTGGAAAAGTAAGCCACAAGAACATGATATCATGGAAAAATTCTGGAGCCTTGAATGAATAGAATTTCACACGTTTTGCAGTTAAAATACTCAATTTTTACCGGTAAAGGTGTTGATATGAAGGTGCACCCGACCTAAAACGACTTGCGCTCTTCGGGGGTTTTCAAGTGGATAGTTTGAAGTCTTTAAATTTTGATTTTGGATACTGAACTCATCTGTTTATGAAGCTCATGGACGCAAGAAATATCTCGGAATTTCGCCTTTTGCGACCGACTTAAACTGAGTTGCGCACCTCAGCGGCTTAGGGGTGCGACAGTGGGTGTTTAGGTGTGAAGGCTCTGAAAAAAGAACTTAAAAGTTAGGCCGCCAAGACATGATAGCTTACAATGGCCACGCCTAAAATGACTCAACGTGTAACGGCTGCGAACCGCTTATTATGAAGTTGCAGCCGACCTCAAACGACTTGCGCTTTTGGCGACTTTAAAGCAGTAAGTTTGAATTTATTAAATTAAAAACTTCCTTTAACTCATTCACCTGCTGTTAAAATTCGTTGTCGCAAGAAGTTGCTTAAAGTTTTGCTTTTTTGCGACCGACCCAAACTGGCTTGCGCTCCTTGGCGTCTTAGAAATCTGACAGTGGGTGTTCCTAATAGATTTAGGGCTGCAGAAGCTTCTGAAGCCCCGATTCGGATTGAATCGCACTGTAAAGCCGGATTGAAACAAATTCTTTGTTTTAAGAATGATCCTTTTGAGTGGAGGTGTAGGCTCAAATAAGATCCACAAAACAATGCAAAAATAATCCTCGAAGACATGATATCATGAAAAAACGGCCTTCATGTTTCCCCAAATGTATATAATCTACACGTTTTGCAGTTGATGTACTCAATTTGTGCCAATCATAGTAACACCTGCAAAAAAGTTGTTATGAACTTGCAGCCGACCTAAAATGACTTGCGCATTTTGGCGACCTTTTGAGTGGAAATTTCGAAGTCATAAACATTTAATTCTCGTAAACTCAATTCATCTGTTTTTAAAACTCATAATGGCAAAAATAGCTTTTCGCTCTTTGCAACCGACTTGAACTGGCTTGCGCCTCTTGGCGTCTTACGAGTCTGAAAGGGAGTGTTTCCAAAAAGCTCAAGAATTTCATACAAATTCTTTGGTTTAAAAAAGGAACTTTTTGAGTGGGGGGTGCAGGCTTAAATAACACTTACAAAACATTGAAAAGAATAAGCCACAAGGACATGATATCATGGAAATTTGGCATGGATGTTTCCGGGCTGTATGAATTGAATTTTTCAGGTTTTTTGGTTGATACCGTCAGTTTTCTTGAGCAATGCTCACACTTCGTAAGGTTAACGCGTAACGGCTGCGAAGCGGTTATAGTGAAGATGCAGCCGACCTGAAACGACTTACGCTCTTCGGCGGCTTTTGAGTGGGAAATTTGAAGTTTTCTCTAATTTTGAATTCAAAGATTGTATTGGCATTCTTAGAAAATCTGGGATCGCCTCATTTTTTGAAAGTATTTTTCGATCGATTCGAATAAAAACTTTCCAACGGACTTGAACTGACTTGCGCTTCTTGCCAACTTTTGAAGGGCGAAATTCAGTTTCTTTAACCGCAACGCGACCGCGACGCATCCAGAAGGCGGTGAAAATTTCAAAAAGATGTATGTAAAACCGTTTTTAAGCATTACTATGATTGCCGATAGAGCGCATTTTGTGAATATCTGGTGAGGCTATTTTTTCCTTAGGAAATTTTTTTAACTATACTTCATTTATCAAAAACTTTTTCAAAACTTGCAAAAAAAAATAGGAAGACCTTTTTTCCAAGTGCAACCCAAGAAACTACAAATTGCTCGAAAATGTAGTCGTTCTCATTGAATTCGTAACTTTATTCCCATTTCCAAAAAAGTGACTCAGACCATGTTTTGAAAGTAATTCCTTGACGTGTATGTAGTTGCAGCATAGTTCAGGGTGTTTTGAAAGCTTTTAGAGCAGAAAAGAGGATTTCAAGTTTTAGGTTGGCTTTGGAAAGCCTGACACATTTGTGACCAAAATATAATATTCCGAAGCTTTTTTTGGTTTCAAAGATCAAAATAAGCTCAAAAAAGGGTTTATTAAGCATTTTAAAGCTGAAAATCGGTACAAAAAAGCGAAAGCGAGAGAGCAGCTGAAGATGAAGAGACGTCAGAGAAATGAGGACCTTTGTTTCTCTGGCGTCTCTTCAAACTGCCGTATCTCTCTTTTTTTTTGTTCAATCTATGATAAAGTTTCTTGAAGACATTTCGAAGCCTTAGAGACCATTTCAAAAATGATTCTACCCCCAAAAACCTTCTTAAAGAACTAGAAACACCGAAAATTCCCGCCTCTAGCCGGAAAATCTGGCTTTTGAGCTGAAGACCCACGGAAAAGACCTAGTTCCAGCTCAAATTTGAGCTGAAAACGCCTCGTCGTCCTGGCAGAAATGCCCTTTCGGGTCCTAAGCCAAAAATCTTGCGCCGCACGGGAATATGATCTATTTTCGCTAACAAACAGACGGATTTGACACAATTGGAAAACGTGATTTGCTCTTCAAATGTTTTGAACTTGTGATTTCGAAAGAAGGAGTGTTTTTGTTTTTTGAAACGGGAATTTCGGAGGAAAAGTTTGGAAATGAACTGATAATGAATTTTTTAAAGCTCTGATTAGCTTCTAGAGCTTTTTCTGTTCTCTATGGCTTAATTTTAAGTTTTTCCTGGCTTCCTGATAACTTCGGCGTTTTCTGTTCGAAATGAAGTGTCAGAAAGAAATACAGCCTTCATTTATTTTTCTTTGAAAAGTCGTGGTCGCATTTGGAATGGCTCGAAGTGTCGCGGTCACGTTTCGGTTGTATTTGGGGCTTGATGTTATATTCATTTTGTTATGTTCACTTAACCATGTTTCCGAGCGTAAGTAGTTTCGTGTCGGACGCATTTTGAAGCAACCGAAACGATTTAAGCCATTCCTAATGCGGGTCTACGGCAGGCTTGAAGTAAATGATTTTCATTCCGTGGTCGCACTTGGAATGACTCCAAGAGACATGGTCATGTATCAGTTGAATTTGGGTCTACGGCAGACTAGAAATCATGAATCATTTTACTCCTTTTATTGAACGATGCCTCCGCGCGTAAGTCGTTTCAAGTCGGATGCTGTTTAAAGCAACCGCGACGCTTTGAGCCATTCCAAATGCGGCTGGAATATTGCCCGAGTTTTTTTTTGATTTTTCATAAACGCTTTCCATATCTCAGAAAAAAAAATTTAGCCTTCACTCACTTTCATCTTAAAAATCATGGTCGCACTTGGAATGGCTCAAAGATTCGCGGTCACGTTTCGGTTGAACTTTTATCTTCGCAAGACTTCAAATAATTCACTTAGACTTTGTTTTCATTGAACCATGCCCCCGCGTAAGTCTTTTTAGGTCGGGCGCTTTTTAAAGAAACCGCAACGCGACGGCGACGCTTCGAGCCATTTTAAACGCGACCACGACCCAAAACTACCCAGATTTTTGGGAACTTTCTGAGAATTTTCTGCAGTTTTTTTTCCTGGAAAAAAATATTATTTCATTCAAAAGATCCGGTTAAAAGTTTTTTTTTTTTCCGATTTTCATATTATTTAAGATTTCGCTATGTTTGAAAGAATTCCGAAATGATTTTCTAGACTTTGAATTTAAATTTGAAGGTTTAGGGGTCTCACGGTTCAACCCAGTTTCATTATTCTTGCAGAAAAATTTTGAATTTTGAAACTTCAGAGTATTTTCTTGCAGCTTCATCTCCAAATTTCAACACCAATCTAAAAATAAAGCCGCCACAATCGAAATCCTTGCCCTTCCTATCGTTGAAAATCTTCCCTGACGTGGAAAATGCGTCAAATTTCAACAATTTTTTCATTTGTTTGCGCAGAAAATGAGAAGAGGATTTGAAAACAGCGTAGTTTTCCGGATCCGCTTTGTAGATGTACGCATTTAAAAATGTATAAATCAAGGCGGATTTTCAAATAAACGTATGATTTCGAATAATGCGTAGTTTTCAAATTTTTCTTGGAGATCTTTGGATTTGAACCAGAACTTCTGAATTTTTAGTGGCTAACTACGGGATTTGAGAGTGGTCCCTACAGAGGTTAGGGGAAAAAAGCCGCTATAGGGGCCGAAAAAGTGGTCCCTATAGCAGGGTCTGAGCCATCAGCCCCTAAAGCTTAAGTGGTTCCTATAGGGGTCGTTAAATTTCATTC